ACCCCAGTGTGGCTCACACGCTCAACTGTAATTAGCTTTTAGTTAAATGATTGCCTCAGTGGGGATCCAGCCTGAATTATTGGAAACTAAATGCCATATTGAGACACCCCAAAAGATAATTAGACAATATCTAGAGTAGCTTTTGTGGGTCGATTACGATTTGAAGTTAATTTAGTGTAATTATAAACCAAGTAACAGTCTCACAGATGTCTTGTTTTTCCTGTCGCAATGTTTCATTTGAAAATGATTCTTGCTTTTTAATTGTCACTGTTTGGATACAATGTTAAGACAATGTGTAATTGATTCAGTGTATACAAATTGTGATTTATGCAACCTTTTCTGATGAGATGCCCTGAAACAAGCGCTGCCTTAAAGAGATTTTTTTTTTCAAAACCAGGTTAAAAAAGACTGTACTCTCTTTCCTTGTGTGAACAGTGTGATCTATGGCTGTATGAACATGTTGCAAAGGTTGAAGAAAACAGAGAATGGAGATATGCAGAAGACCCATTTCTGCAAGTGTAAAATCCAGCAATTGTTGCTGTATTCCTTGTCAAGGAGAAACTCTATTCAAGTGCTTACAGAGGTGAGTGCCTGATGAGATGTAAATAGGAATTTGATCTATTTTTGAATGTGTAAAAATTAAGTACAATTTGAAATCAGAGCAGTGCAGTACAATTGATAAGAAATTAATTACAATTGTTTGTGTTTATCTGTAATTTCCTTTAACGCTGGTAAAGATGGACAATTCCAAACATTGGAATTACAGTAATATCTGTGTCTCATCGGGTCGTCTGAAATCTGAGGCTCCTCACTCACAGGTCATTACCCTTGTTTCATTCAACCACTGGGAAACACTGTATTGTTTCTGTAAATGTAAGGAAAGCCCTGCATTTAAAAAAAATCGAATCTTCATCCTGTTTGAGATCCAAGTGATACTGAAACTGAAAACATCGGCCTACTTTTTGCTGTTAATGATCATACTTGTAAAAGATAATACATTACACATTTTTATTAAAGCGATAGGTGGGTGATTACGAATGTCAAGCTTTCTGCTAATATGAGGAAAGTAAAAAAAATGTATGTGTCCAAGCAGGTTAAAATACTGTTATGTGCTATTGCATATTTTATAAATATATTGTGATGTATTACGTCATTTTGAATCTGAACAAACATTCGTTATAGATCTGTTAGATACAGAACTTTTTGTAGCTCATCCAGTGAATTCATATACAGTGATACAAATATTGTATACTATAAGAAAAATGGGATAGTAAACACAATAGAAATAGTATAGGAAAGACTGACTGATAATCAAATTATATCATCAGAATACTCATGAATAGCCAACATTTCTTTTGTGAATGTGTGATCAGTGTGAGGTAACCGATTTTCATATTATCGTGTCCCCAGAGCCCATCAACTTTATATGCAACGCACAGCCCGAAAGAAGACTATCTAACACAAGCTGGTAAGATAAAAAAATATATACATCATTCATTGCTATTCATTCTTAATTTTTTTTTGACAAAATTACAATTTATTATAAAACCTTTTCTCCTCAGATGACATAGAATGTACCAGGATGGAGATTTTGCAGCCCACAGAATCTACCACATGGGTTGCAAGATTTTTTCTGGCTGCTGTGTTGGTGGTTGGAATCCACATAAGAAGACTAAACATATCCCCAAACAGAGTCAGTCCTGCTCATGCTAGTACCTCGACAGTGATGATGCTTTTTTCCATGACATTGCACTCTTTTTCACCATCTGCGGCCATCAATCAGCCCTCTGAGTGGTCCCGGAATGGTATTGGGATATCTTTTGTCATGTCCCTTTCTTGTGCTCTGGGGAAAACTCTACAGCTGATAATTGCCTGCAGGACTGCTTTTAGTGTCATTCAACTGTGTGGTAACACACACCAGCAATTTAGGGCTGTGCCTACTATTATGTCTTGCATGTGGTTAACTGTCGGCGCCCTTGTTGTCAATAAGTGTGTCAAAACGTGGTTTGAAGACTTACCTTTTGAGGGAAGTGTGGGGTCAACATTAAAATGTTGGACTGTGATAGGGCAGGTAGAGCAATTTGCAACTTTGTTCTATGTTTTTGTTTCATTTTCAAGTTTGCTAAAATCCGTTCTAATAAATATACATGTTTTGATTGTTCTGTTAAATGTGCAACTACTAAACTGTCTACGGATTTCAATGGTCCCAACAAAGTATGTACTGGTTATTAGGATCAGCACGTTAGTATAAAGAAAACATCACATTTCAAATTTAATGGGAAAATGTAAATGCAAATATGTTACATTTCTGTGATGTTATTTTCTTCATCATCCCCCTGCCCTCCCCAAACTAGTTTGAACAGCGCTCTTTCGAAGCTTGATGCAAAGCCAACTGGACTGGTTGAAAAACTTGAAAATCTTCAACCAACCAGTTCCATTTGGATCAAGCTTCAAAGTTAGCATGACCTGGATGACTGACAACCTACACAGACAACAGAGATGCTTTTTTAAGAAGGAAATGTGTCCTGTGTGCTATTTCTATTTAAAATACACTGGTTAATACACTGAAACATTTCAAACATGTCTTCATTTTATTTAGAGAAATATATTTTTAGTTTGGCCTTCTTACACAATAATATATCAATCAAATGATCACAGTGAAGCAATAACTGTTCTAATGTCGGAATAAATATCCCAGCAAAAGTGGATTAGGAAGGGTTTGAAAATGTGTTTAAGTAGAAAAAGTTGTATGTACTGACCTTTTCAAACATTAAATTTAGTATGACTGAACAGTTGTATGATACAAATGTATGTATGTTTGCATAAGCAGCTATTTGAATGCTGATTCCAAACTTTTTTTTCAATGCCAGTACACTCAAGCATTAAATGTTTCATGGAGTCAATGAAGATGTTCTTATTATTTTCAATGTTCCACTTTAAACATGGAAAGTGTTAAAGGCACTTGACGTCACCCAGCGCTTTTCTGAAAAGTTTCAATCATTCAACTGAAAAAGGCTTATTTGAAAAGGCGCTTTTTGAAAAGGCGTCATCCTAAAGGGACAAACGTGAGGTAGGGGCAGCTTGTAGGGGCAGCTGTTGCTCAGTTAGTAGAGTGGTCGCCTCTCAACCGAAAGGTCAAAGGTTTGATCCCCAGCTGAGCAACATGTCCAATGTGTCCATGGGAAAGACACTTAACCCCACATCCAACTAACATAGTTCATTGTTTTTCAAATTAGTCTTCACACAGCAATTTTTTCTGATGTTTTAAGCTTTAATTAAAAACCCAAAGCATAAAAAGTATATAACTTGGTTACATTAATGGGACACTGGGGGATAGAATAATCAAGTAATGGCATATGAGATTGTCTACTTATTCTTATCAAACCATTATGGTTGCATAATTTTATGAATCAAATGGTTATATATAAGCCGGTTAACCAAATCAAAAGGATTTTCTTTTTCTTTTCTTTTTTTTATGTTTCTTGACATGTTCTCACTGGTTAGTTTGATTTAATTCTGTCCTTCACAAGGTTTCTTTTCCATCCTTCACCAACGTGAAAGCAAGTATTGCCCAGCAGATGTCAGCGTGTGAACTATTTTAAGGATATGTCTTTTTCAATGCATCTGCAATACTTTAGCCATTACTAGTGCCCACACATACAGAGATGTTAAACACAAACCACATACTTCACTGGCTCGTATGAAAATTGAAATACAGATTGCTTGGGTTTAGCTCATGAGTAAATTGTATGTTACTGTTGACCAATCAGACACTCTGGTCTAATCTGTTACAATAAAGTCTGTGCTGGCATTGAAACTCATACCATGACAGTAACAATCAACCAATCTTTCCACTGGGGGACACTAAATTCCACCTCTAACTTTATCTGCTCCCATAGACCTTTACACTATCAACTTTCAAACCTTAGATTCACTATTTTCAGTATGTATTTTCAGACTGAGCTACTGCTCAAATCCTTCAAATCCCCAATATGTGTATTGCTCTTAGTTTGATTTACCATTGTGATCTCACTTGGCCGATCTGTAAATAAATAATTACCTTTCCTATGAAAAGTACTGAAATATGGTAGCGACAAATCAAACTCATTTTTGGGTAAACTAAATGAGGCTGTCATTAATCCAATGCAGTCATAGTCAGTATTAAAAATGAAACATTTATACAATTACCAAAACAGTCTAATCGGGAAAAACTAAAATATATGAACAATTATCATTTTATAATAGACATTAGAATTCTGTTTTTGATTCCCCACGCCCCCTTTGTCTACATTACATGTGTGTGCGTATATGTCGGTGTACTTTGTATCCTATCTGTGATAATATCCTTTCCCTGTTGTAATAATCTTGCCAATCTGCAATTGTTTTGTCCTGTGGGAAATAAACCAACTTTTGTGAGCAGCAAAATCTACCTGCATATGAGTTTCAAAGCTGTTATAAGAGCTGTGTTCTCATCTCTTTCAAGATATGCTGAGCACACGCATGAGCTGCAGAAAGCCATGATTTTAACAGTATTTTTCCTGTACTTGAACACAGTTTCTGGCTGTGAATTGATAGGAAGGTTTAACATGCCAAGTTTGTTCAAGCAGGGAGACATAATGATCGGTGGAATCTTCCCAGTTTTCAACAAAGAGATAAGCAGCACCTCTACGTTCAAGAGCAAACCGGCTGGAGTTAAATGCATGGGGTGAGTTTTAATACATCTAGCTTTTAAACACTTCATACTTTACTCTGCTACTCTCTATCAAATTTCAATTGAATGCAAAATATGTGTCTACAGCAGAGACTAAAACTTAACAACCTCTTTCAATTAAAAATGCCTTTTTTAGCTTTGACCTGCGTCCTTTTCGGTGGACCCAAGTGATGATATTTGCAATTGACGAGATCAACAATGATTCTGCTCTGCTGCCAAATATATCTCTTGGCTATAGGATCCTTGACTCTTGTGCATCTCCTACAAATACTTTGCGTGCTGCACTGACACTGACAAGTAGATCGGAGAAGACTTCACCTTGTCCTCCAGCTATATCTGCATTAATAGCAGAGTCAGGATCGACTCAATCTCTAGCTGTTGCTGGAGCTCTTGGACCATTTCAAGTGCCAATAGTAAGAGAGTAAAATGTAATATTGTATTGCGTTAATGTTTTTTTTAATATGTGGTGCTTTTGTAGTGATTGTTTTGTGGTGTTTTTTCAGACCACTTTGTTGCTGTTCTTTTGATAGGTAAGTTACTTCTCAACATGTGCCTGCCTGAGTGATAAAACCAAATATCCTACTTTTTTCCGGACAATCCCCAGCGACTACTTCCAGGCTAAAGCTTTGGCAACACTGGTCAAACGTTTTGGCTGGCAATGGATTGGGGCAATACAGTCAGACAATGAATATGGCAGGAATGGGATCCAAGCTTTTACTGAAGAGGTTAAAAAGCATGGGGTTTGTATTGCATTCATTGGGACAATTTTACGTACATATACCATCGATAAAATTCTGGATGTTGTGGAAATGATCAAGCAGTCATCTGTCAAAGTCATCCTTGCTTTTGTCCCAGAGGGGGACTTTTATCCTTTGATGAAAGAGGTCGTTAAACAGAACATTACAGGAATTCAATGGATTGCTAGTGAGGCCTGGATAACAGCAGCTCGACCCTCGACACCAGAAATGTACCGAGCTTTTGGTGGAGCTCTAGGGTTTGTGGTGAAGAAGATGGCAATTCCAAAACTAAAACCATTCCTTACACACATTAGCCCTTATGCTGACCTCAATGCAGCATTTGTGAAAGATTTCTGGGAGATTATGATGGGCTGTAGACCTGTCTCAACTGAGGAACACTCAGGTACTGAGGCAGCACATGAAGTATGCACAGGGACTGAGACATTGATGAATTCCCAGGATGTGTTCTTCAATGTTACACAGCTCCGAGTGTCTTATAATGTGTATAAAGCAGTGTATGCCATTGCTCATGCCCTACATCAGCTGGTATTCTGTCAACCAGTTAATGGAAAAATAGTGAGCCCATGTTTGAATGTATCAGAAATTAAACCCAAAGAGGTGAGAAATACTGCCATTACAATCCACCATTCTCCAACTGTGTAAAAATAACAAAGTCAGCATATTATTCATATGAACTAAATGGTCTGCTTTCTCTTCAGGTCACTGCTCACTTACGACGTGTGAATTTTATGAATCAATTTGGGGATGATGTGTTTTTTGATATCAATGGTGACCCTCCCGCTTCTTATGATATTATTAACTGGCAGCTTAGAGATGAGCAGGTCCAACACGTCACAGTGGGTCAATTTGCTTCTGCTGCAAACAGCACTTATAAGCTCAGCATCAAGAAAGAAGACATTGTGTGGAGGACAGGGAAAATGGTAAAAAGTATATCTTTCATATAACTTGTTAATTTGTTTTGTTAATGTGTGCAGTTTGAGAATTTGATCAGAAGAATATTTATCCATGATAATTGCATTTTCCAACCTTTTTTCCACAGGTTCCGATATCGGTATGCTCTGAAGTTTGTCCAGTAGGAACCAGAAAAGCCCAAATAAAAGGAAAACCAACCTGCTGTTTTGACTGTATCCCCTGTGCTGATGGAACCATAGCCAATGCAACAGGTTTCAAAATCATTTCAATGGCATACTAAAAAGGTTTATGATCCAATGTGTGTTTGTGTATGTGTATATCTGCTTGTTTTAACTATTTGTCAGTATTAGCTGTGTAAGGCCTTTAAGGGAAAACGTACAGAACTTTGGGAACTGGGGTTGGGGTACTAAACTGAGATTTTTTTTTTGGTCAAGGAACCACAGTGGTTCTCAATTCGTCTAGTCTAATGAGAAATCGTGAGAAATTTCTGATTTTCTTTTAGTTAAAATTGTGCAGTTTGAACCTCAGACGGCACAAAAAAAAATAGTTTAAAAAACACACATTTACTGCCCATTTAAAACTGCTCCATGACCCACTTTCTGGTCCTAACCCACCAGTTGAGAACCACTGGTTTAATGTGAAGATGTAAGAGAAACTACACGTCAAAACAGTGTAAAAGTTCAGTGTAAATGAAAGGGTTTTTTTCATCCAATGAGTATTGTTATTTTAGAATTATCTTTTGCACAATGACTGTCAAAAATAATCAGTCTGATTGCACTTCAATTGAATCTCTGGCTTTGAAATACAGTAAACTTCTTAATTTGAATATTTTTTAATCTCTTTTTAAGATGTGCAGCCCCATTACTGATCCTCTGTGTTAATGTTAACAGATGCAGCCGACTGCACAGCCTGTCCTCGGGAATACTGGTCCAATGAGAGGAAAGATGAGTGTTTTCCTAAAACCATTGAATTCCTGGCATATAATGAGCCGATGGGAATAGCTCTCACACTTGTATCCCTGCTTGGGGCTTCCCTGTCTCTAGCAACAATGATTGTCTTCATCCGCTACAGAGAAACTCCTGTCATAAAGGCTAGCAACTCCGAGCTCAGCTGTTTCCTCCTGTTTTCTCTTTTTTTGTGTTTTCTCTGTCCCCTCACTTTTATCGGCAGACCCACAGTCTGGACATGCATGCTGCGCCATACAGCTTTTGGTGTAACATTTGCACTTTGTATATCGTGTGTCTTGGGAAAAACTATTGTTGTTGTCACAGCTTTCAAGGCCACATTCCCTGGAAAGAATTTAGCAGAAAAGTTTGGACCTGTACAGCAAAGGATCATAGTCTGTTCCTGCACTTTAATACAGGTAGTGGTATGTGTGTTGTGGCTGAAATTAAAGCCACCTTTCCCAGACATGGTTTTAAGACACAGCAATAAGAAGATTGTTTTAGAGTGTAACACAGGCTCTGAGGCTGCTTTCTATGCAGTGTTAGGGTACATAGGGATTCTGGCAGTAATATGTCTGGTTCTGGCTTTTCTAGCTAGAAAGGTGCCAGATAACTTTAATGAAGCTAAATTCATCACCTTCAGCATGCTGATCTTCTGTGCAGTCTGGGTCACTTTTATCCCAGCATATGTCAGCTCTCCTGGAAAGTTCACTGTTGCTGTGGAAATATTTGCAATTTTGTCTTCAGCCTTTGGCTTATTAATAAGTATTTTTGCACCTAAATGTTACATAATACTGATTCAGCCAGAGAAAAATACTAAGAAACATGTCATGGGAAAACTGTAAATAAATTGTCATATACAGATGATCATTCTGTTAAACTTTATAGTATGTGAGGTAAAAGTAGAATACAATGATAAAAGGAAAAATAAAAACATTTTCTTTATCAGGTTACATCCAAGATGCACAAGATGTATTTTAAATAAGGATTAAAATAAATTATTAATAAATGCAGAGTTCATAAGTAATGGACAAAAAAATGTTATTAATTGTATATTTAATTGTTATTGTAATATTACTTGGAAAAAATCTAAAGTGATGTCTTATCACATGTTGTTCACTTTTTTTGTGTGCTGTGTATGTCGCTAAACCTGTGTTGTGAAATAAAATCCTCAAGAGCTACACACTTGTATTTGGTTGGGAACATTTTGACTTAAAAGTACATTGTAGAAGAAGTCCTTTTAGTGCAGTTAAACTTTTTCCACTCAGTTTTTATATTTTGTCTTCATGTCATACACATTGAACTGGAATAAAAAACCTGCGTACAGTTGACGGTCATTGTCCTCGAAAGCTACGAGAGTAACATGGTTACAACATATTCAGCTGCTCATATGAAGTTAAAGGAACCTGGAAAGGAAATTGTGTTTTATTTTATTTTATTATAATAAATTTAAGTGTTTTTTTTTCTTTCTGAGTGTACAACTTTGTATATTATTGATTAGTTAGTGTCATTGTTGTACCCGTGTCAAGGTGAGCATCTATTTAACATATTTAAGGCCATTATCTTTATCATCTTTAAATGTCATCATACTAAATCTTCTTCAATACTCTAATGTTTTTAGATTTGCATGCATACATCAAAAACAAAAACAAAAAACACAGATAACCCATCTATATAGCTTTACAGTATGTTTATTATTTCATAATTCTGATAATTCATAATTCTCTGTTTTGGTATATTGAAGCAATTATAATTAAAAATCAAATTAGACATGTATGATTTAATAACCTATGAAATATAGCAAATATTTGCATTATCAGAAAACAAACTGACATAAAAAAAAGCTCTTAGCTAGCACTTTGATAACAGTATTTTAGAGAATCTTTTCTAAAATTGTATTAAGCATGAATCTACATAATAAACATTTCATTTACAAGCCTTGTTACAAATTAAGATATTTTATCCATTAATATAATATACTTTTTTATTAAATTGTAGTTTTCATCTTTGCAACATGTTTCTTTTGCTGTTTTTGTCTGGTTTCAGAATGATAACGTAGCACTTCGGAACAAAAATACAAAAGAGGAGAGCAAAAGCCGAGGCTAAAATCGCAAAAATATGGACGGACACTGTGTATTTCCCTGCTGTGCTCACATACACTGGGATAAAAGTAATCCACACTGCGAAGAATATCAGCATGCTGAAGGTGATGAATTTAGCCTCATTGAAATTATCAGGCAGCTTCCGAGCCAAAAATGCCGTTAGGAAACACATGCAGGCCAGGAAGCCAATATATCCAAGAACACACCAGAAGCCAAACTCTGAACCAGCAACACACTCAATAATAATGGTAGCACTGTGGTAATTTGTGTTGTTGTTGGCGTAAGGTGGATTATTGAGCAGCCAGATGAAACAGATTATTCCCTAAGTGAAGAGAAAAAACAGGATGTATCTTTTATTAGTGTCACAATTAAAAATTAAAAAAAGGAAAGTAGTGAAGTGTTTCTACCTGGATAATTGTGCCTAAAAGCACACTAGCTCTCTGCTGGTTGGGTCCAAACCACTTCATGACATTACTTCCTGGCAGTGTAGACCTAAAAACCATGAGGACCACCACTGTCTTGGCAAGCAGGCATGAAATGCAAAGGGCAAAACTGATCCCAAATGCTGGGTATCTGATTCGGCAAAGCCAGTCCGAGGGCTCGCCAATAAACAGCAGGCTGACAAGAAAACAGACAGTAAGAAACACCAGGAGAAGGAAGCTCAACTCCATGTTGTTCGCCCGAACCAGTGGTGTGTCTTTATATGTAAAGAATATGGCAAGTATTGAAAGAGAGATACAAGCTCCAAGAACTGCTACGACACACATCACAATACCCATCAACTCGTGGTAAGATAGGAACTCAATAGTCTTGAGGAGGCAGAGATCTCTGGCTCCATTGGGCCATGAGTCATCAGAGCAGTGTGAGCACTCTAAAGAATCTGTAGATGGGGATAGAAGAAAACGGTTTGGAAAAGCCACATTTAATCACAAGTTTAAGTTTATATTTGGACAATACGAGAAAGACAGAACTCAACACACCAGTCTTGTTACTAATTTCGCCCTCAGCACAAGGGACACAGTCGAAACAGCAGATGGGTTCCCCCTTCCTCCTCGCGATACGGAAACCTGGAGGACAGCTGTCGCTGCATACAGACCGGGAAGCCTGAGAGGCAAAGTTCAGCCACTCAAAAAATCACTGTTATATATCAAAATTCACCTGAAGGCCTTCTGCCTCTGCTTTGTTAAACATTACAGTTCTGATCCAACTTTTTTTCAGAATAACAGATTCAAGCATGCAAACCAATTTCAGCATGATCTATGCCAGAATAACCCCCCCCCCCCCCCCCCACCGGATTGTTGATGGACGGTTTGCCTCCCCCCACCCCCTTGCTCCCTATCCCTCTTCCTGCATCTTATCCCATCTCTCCCCCTATCCCTTTCCAAGCCCGGCGCAGTCTAGGACTGTGAAGGCTGTTTCGTCATGAGCCGGGGATCCGGCCGAAGATTTCTGCCTTTTAATAAGGCAGTTTTTTCTTACCACTGTTACTTTTGCTGCTTTGCTAAAGTGCTCATGATGGATAGGCCGGGTCTTTGCAATATAGCAATAAGTAAGGTCTTTTACCTGCTTTTTGTAAAGTATCTTGAGATAACACTTGTTATGAGTTGACACTATACAAATAAAATTGAAATTGAAATAAAATTGAAATTGAAAATTAAATGTATTACAATGAAACATGAATACTGTTCTTTAAGCTATGGTAAAAGAGAGATTGCAATGTAAAATCAGCAATGAAGCAGTTTTCATTCCTCTTTGGGTGTTTTTTCACTGACCTGTTCCCAAAAGACTGTGAGAAAGCTGCTTTATGTATGGGGTTAAATTATTTAAATTGTCAAAAAAAGAAGGATGCTCATGCACCATTGTGAACACAGTTCAACTGACAGTTTTACTTTTTTAAAGATGTGCCTTTGTTAACATAACAGTATTTTAGCTTTAATCTACAGATGAGTACTTTTTATTTTGTTTTCAAGAATAATTTGAACTTGCTATAATAGTACAACTTTTACCTCCTTGGTTTAAGTTTTTTATATTTTTCATAATGAATTTTAAATGTCAGACTTTGTTCTCTCAGTTATCCACATGTCAACCATATTCTAAAAAAAAAATGCAGGTTGTTTCAAATGCCTTTTTTCTCTTTAATTAGCCCAGCTATTTCTCTTTAACTTTTTTTTGTTCATTCTATTATTACAAATTGTAATCAATATTGGGCAATAAATGGTGATTCATTTTTGCAGTCATTGTGTGCAATCAATGTATATTTGTCAACATTTACCTCTGTTTGTTTAACAATCAATAAAATTGCACACCATTAAAATCAAGTTCACGGATGTGTTGATCAAGAGTACATACAGCAGTCTAAGAGATGAACATGGTCTCAAGCCCATTTGCAGAGAACACACCTGCTTTCCAACAGGCCACTCAATCACTGAGTCATTTATGACCAGGCTGCGTCCAGCAGGCATGGAGGCGTCATAGAAACCTACTTTTACCAATCGAAGTGAGCCATCAGGTCTCGTTTGCCAGTTCAAAAGATCATAATAAGCAATAGGGTCACCATTTTGATCAAAGTTGATTTTCTCTCCCAGTGCAGAAAAATTTGCCTGTTTCATGTAGTGGATGAGCTAAAGAGGGGTAGAAAAGATGTTATATAAACACATACATATTATGCATTATTTACCTTTTCCTGAAAAAAATAGTTTTCAACCTACAAACAGTCTCACCTGCCATGGTTCAAAGTTCTTAGGGTCTGTGCAGGTGCCATTGGGAAAGGGCCCCTGTCCTACTATGCAGTCACTCATATCATGCAAGGCATGGGCCACAAGATACACCGCCTTGTAGACATTAAAGGACACTCTCAGCTGTGTCACATCAGAATAAGGAGAGTAAACTTCACTTAAATCCTCCGTCCCTTTACATGGAAATCTGTTGAGGTAGTTGTCACCCCCATGAGAATGGCTGTTCACTGACCCGTTCAGCCGACAGTTAAACAGCTCTTCCCAGAACTCTGCTAAAAAGGCTGATTTCTGAATATATGGTGTTCTGAGACTGGTGAGGTGTTGTTTCAGCCCTGGAATCACATCAGCTCTACGGATGGCAAATCCCAGTGTTCCCATCAGGAGCTCTCCAAACTTTTCCCAGAGAGATGAGGCAGTGGCCCAAGCCTCACTGGCAATCCACTGCAGACCGGTTATATTCCGGCGCTGGACTGCTGCCAGAATACCCTGAAGTTCTGACTCACCAGAAAAGTTAATGATGACCTTTGAGGACGCCATCTAAACAGAGAAAATGTGGGTATGGTTAATAAAATATTTAAGCTATTTTCAAATCTTTAATAAAATGATGGTATGTTGATCTCTCTAACATTCCATTAAATGTGATTCATAGTAGATTCAAGCACCTGTAAGATTATAGCACTTAAATGCAGTACTGAATCAGTAAATGAATGGTCACATTGTCAGGGGGATGGAACAGGTGTTGCAAATTAGCATTTTGCTAAAAACACTCAGAGCAGTGCATCTGGGACTTGTGCATGGTTAAATGTTACAGCACCAATGTGACTGTATGTCCATGTCAAATAAACAAATAAATAAAATATGTAAATACAAAAGTGATGAAATATATTTTTGACATATAAACAATTACTTGTTAATACAATCCAGTGTATCAGTCTGAAATGTTTCAGATTTAGTTGGAATTTAGTTGTTTAATACTAGTGGTATCAGGATATAGTTTATTGTATTTCAATGCTAAGCATTCTACTGACCTACTTAAAAAGCTTTGATCGTTTTAGTGTAATGCAAAATATTACAAATAAGAATGAATGAAATCAATATCATTACGTTACATGTTGTGCTGTGTTTGTGATGAGTGGTTTAAACATCACATACTGTTAGTGATATAAAATTAAGTTGGATTTGAGAAATTTATTTTCTTAAGTTTTAATACATTTCTAATTCCTTGATTAGATTGTTGATGACACAAAGACGATTTAAGTTAAAATGTGATCATTAATAGGGTAATATAGTTGTTTAGAACTAAATTACATTGCATGTGTATATATGGAGACCCCAGATGTCATTGTTTGCTCCCCTCTAAACCCTCTTGCCTTTGCTTTCTTTTACTATCTTAATCCAACACCACAAACTCAATTCATTCCACACAAAAATCTATAATGACTCAGTTACCTGAATCACATCCAGAAGCTCATCTAAAGCCTGCTGATTAAGGGTTACAGGGTAAAAGTGAGTGTAGGCAGCACACACACCGTACTGCACCGATTCCTGCAGAAAGAGCTCAATGGCAAAGCGAGCGTAATCTGACTCCACACCGATGACTCCCACCCAAGTCCAGCCAAAATAACTAACCAGCCGGGCAAGTGCTTTGATCTGGAAGGCATCGCTAGGCATTGTGCGCATGAATGTGGGGAACTCCCTTTGGTTACTCAGGCAGCTGCAGGATGCGAAATAGCTCACCTGGTATTAAAACAAACAATAGTTAACCTCTAGTACACTGTGGCCTTTAAACAAGCGACGCATTACACCCAAAAAAACCCAACATTTTTTAGAACTTAAAGGAGGGCATTTAAGAGGTGGGGAAGCTAAAAGCCTAACTATCAGCTGTAAAAACGGCCTTTTGTTGTACAATACGCATTATACTGGTTCCTTTAAAAATAAAGCACTTTAAATTTGCCATCCAGTTTAAAAACACATTTCATGAGTGCAAAGAAAATTTAGCAATTTCATTTTTTAATTAAAAAATTAAACATTTCTCTCTGCGTTGAGAATAATCATACTTCTTTAGAGAATGTTTGAGCAGTAAGACCTGCTTTATAAAAAAATAAAACTTAAAAGCATTGAAATGGGGCTTTTCTTTTCACTGTACAACAATTATTCAGAACTCAAGCATATATAGGAAATGTAAAAGACTTATCAAACATGACAGAAACACATATCCCTGGTATTATCTCAACAGCAGTGCTCAAACAGTCAGACAGTCTCACCAGAGGAATATGGAAAGAACCCAGGCTTCTTAACAGTGCCATAGACACTCCAGAGGCAGCATCACCTATGATTACTGAGGACACAGTCCTTTGTACAGCGGAACAGCCTAAATTAGCACCAAGGTTTTGTTTGAGATTTTTGTTTCCTGTCACATTCTCAGCTGTGGAACCTCTCTCTGGCTGGCCGTTCACCAGCAGCAGGGATGCTCTTAGAGACACGGGTATGTCATCACTGCTGTCACGGATGTGGAAACCCAGCTTGAGCTGTGGGAGTAGGTCACTGCGCTCATTTATCTCTGTGATTGCAAATGTCATGGTCTGCATCCAGCGCAAGGCACGAGAGCTGAAACTACATGTGCAGAATTGAAAGGCTGTTCATCTGAAAACATATTTAGGTATACAAAAACAACCTAAACAGAAATACAAGAAAATGTCACACCATGCATTGCACACAGGCCTAGGGCTATCAAATACATTCAAAAGGTCACCTACTATTTGTACATAGTTGGTGTTGGTTCTGCTTTGTAAGTCGGAACAGAGGATACAGAGCTGTAGTGTAGAGGGAACAAGCCCCCTATAACTACATCTCCATCTTCATACAGACTGTTTTTTTCTTCTTTCCCTAAGAAAACACAGTCGTCCAGAGCAGCAGTTGAGACACAGTTTCCCTTAAAAAGAGAAAGTAAAAAAAGGATAGAGAGCATAGCCATTGCTGTGTCAGGTTGGAGAAAAATCTACAACTCAGTAATGTTGAATATTTCAAAGGCTAAACACAGAATCTGACCTTTCATGTGATGTAAAAATGACTATGATACTTCAGGATACGGCTGGTTTAAATACTGCTATGGATGGCAAAGGAAACGCCCAGGTACAATAGTTGTAACATCATAACAGGTAACACCTTAGGTGGCTTGGATAGAGTGTACAAAGCTTTCTATAACGATACACTTCAAGATGAGAGAATTGATACTTTAGGCAGGCCTGTGTTGAACAATTAATTATTTACTCAAATGTCAGTCAGTACTGAAGCTTTACTCAACCAGCAATGTGGATTATTGTGTTCAAGTATCAGAGCCATGAGCACTATTCCCCTGGGATTCTTATAACAAGGGGGTCTCTGGTAAATTAGGAATAAACCCTAACATCAGCGTTTAAAGCAGCTCATTCTCACTGAATAAGTGAAGTCTGTAATTTACTGACATTTCTGATCTATCCATTTCTGATAAAAACCTTTTTTTAATTCCCCTTTCATCTTCTCTTCTTTCGCTCTCTCTTCTCTCCCTCTGCCTACACTGGATTAAAACCCTGGACCTTCATGATAAATAACTTTTAATTCATGTACACATGTATTAGTGTTTTTGAAATAACTAGCATTTAATCTAAAGAAAACTAGTCATTTACCTTAGGTTGATGTGATGGAGGCAGGACGCTCTATGGGTGTGTTTTGGAACTTTAAAGCCAATACTTTACAGTTTTATGATTGTTTTTTTTAACTGAAAAACATCCACAAATCAATGCACACCATTAAAATATTTAAGTTCATGTCAGGTGGCAGTTCTAACCACTGTGCTGCCTTGCATTGCTTGCCTTTTTATATTTCAGTTCATGAAGCTTATTCAAAAACATATTCCAGACTACATGTGTTTGTGAGAAGTTTTGTAAAGTAGTTTAGCACGTGTGTTAGGAAGGTGTAGAAAGGCAACTCAGCAGATGACATTTTTCCAAGAGCTGAGTATTTAATTACAGTAATTAAACAAACACGTGTTAACTTAATAAAAAAAAAAAAAAAAGTTCAATGGAAATAAAGAAAATATCTCATAGTTAAATCATACTAAGGCTCGTGTTAAAGGCAACACGTCCTCACCTCTCCTCCTGCAGGACCAAATGCCTCCCGGCTTTATAGATGGCCGCATTTACAAAATGGCCGCAGCTGGATTCAGCACAACTCACATAGGGGGTTTCACTTTTCTCTAAAAGCGAAAAAATCAATAGCAACCCTTACATTAACATCGCATCATTTACTCAACTAAATAAAATAAAATAAAATTATATTATACCTATAACTTAAATCTGAAAGAAATGATTAGAAAGAAAACATTTATCAGAAACAAACCCCTTCTGATGGTCTGCCCCAGTGATGTCAGTGATGACATCATAAACCTGATAAATACCCAGGAAGTGCTGGACTAGCCCCTCTAGTTGCCTTGGACCACATGGTGAACTGAACAATGAAACAAACAAAGATAAGTATGGATAAGAGATGAACTATGATATTTTTTACTTCCAGACTAAATAAAAACGAGTAAACTAAATCAAGACTGTGATGTGAAATGTAACACAGACAAACAAGATAGTAAGGGCTGCAATGTTACACAAGCAATAATACATTACAGCAAAATACACAACTGTAAAGAATAATATGATTTGATAATAAATGAAGATTTAAGTGACAAAGTGTTGAATAAGAAAAGAGCATCTCACCCACTTTGTCACATGTAATCACCACACCACTGGAATGCCTTGCAGAATGTCCCTTTTTATTTAGTTTCCAATTCATTGTCATTCAAAAACATGGTCCAGAATTACACACTGAGAAAGGCAGAACATTCTAGCTACAAAGGGAAAAAACCGATATGGGGTTCAAACCCTGGATCCATCTCACTATGAGGCAGCAGCCCTATAACCACCATGTCACTGTACACTGCATTGTTCACCTGTTAAGGTTTATTGATTTTTCCCATTATTTTTACCTTCTCTTTTGTATATTATATAACAATCAGTGCGGTATTTCACCTGCTTTTTGTAAGGTATCTCAAGATAACATTTATTGTTATACAAATAAAGATTGATTGACTATTGTGGGTTTTTGTAAAGTTATTTTTGGTCCATTTTTGACTTGATAAGAAGGGGCATCTTAAGAAAGACAGGAAATGTGAGAGAGAGTTGGGGATGTCATGCAGCAAAGGGCCGAGGTCTTTCAAAAGGTTGGTCCTGGACTTCAGTGTTAGGACGTCAGAGCAATCCTGCTTGACACGGAAAGTCCCTATCTTTCATGATCCAAGAAAAAATAGGATCAATTATTAATCAGTGTTAGGACGTCAGAGCAATCCTGCTTGACACGGAAAGTCCCTGTCTTTCAGGATCTAAGAAAAAATAGGATCAATTGGTAATTAGGTGCATCAAGGCCAGTCATTATAGCCAATTTTTTTAAGCTGCAGTAGATGGATGATGAGTCACCGGGGGAGCCTTCATGCCTCTGCTCATAGTCCCTACTCATAATTGACAAAGTCTTCAGGAGAAAAGTACTACAGAAATATTGTCAAGTAGGATTTCCCATACAAGGACTCTGAATTGTCCATTACCTGTATAGGGAAGCAAGAACACTTTTTTGTTGTTCTAGTACTTAAAAGATTTAAAAAAAAAAAAAAAAATGTCTTGCCGACTAAAGTTTTATTTAGAGACACTATGCAGTATAAAAGGGAAGATACCCAACCGTGTCAGTAGTTAATCGTTATCAAAGGGGTTAGTTTCAGTCTGACACTGTTCCAAAAATAGTGTCATAATCAAGACACAAAAGCGTGTTTTATGTGGCAATCCATTTTATTTCACATTTTAACATATTGATTCAAATAACCAGATACAACCTTAATGCCCAGTTCATCTTTTATATCTTCCTATAATGCCTTTCTTGATGTTTTTTTCAGGCATCAGTAAAATGATGTAACATTTAGGCACAAATATACATAACAACAGTCCAAAACTGGAGGCTAATATAGCAAATACTTCAACAGCAACAGTGAACTTCCCAGGAGAGCTGACATAAGCTGGGATGAAAGAGATCCACACAGCCCAGAAGATAAGCATGCTAAAAGTGATGAGCTTTGCCTCATTGAAGGTATCTGGCAGTTTGCGTCCAAGGTATGCCAAAAGGAGGCAGAGGAAGGCCAGTAGTCCGATGTAGCCAAGGACGAGATAAAATCCTGGGGGCCATGGTTCCTTACACTCCAACACAATCTGATTATGTTAAACAATACAAGAGTACAAATGAAAAAAGATAGTGTACAGTTTGCATCAAGGTGTGGAATAACAAATGTTATGTAATTGTGTTAAAGTTAAAGTTAAATTTGTACATTCCAGACTTTGGTGTCCTCTAATGGTATTAAAAAAAACACTGCAGTACAGTGCTATTCTTACTTTGCCAGTTGCAGCTTGATATGTTGGGTTTCTGAATGGGAAGGGAGGTGCACACAAGAGCCAGCCAGCACAGAGACAAACCTGTTGCCAATAGAGAAGGATACGCTCTTTTTAAAAAGCACAAAATTACTTATGATAGTCAAAAGTTATGTTTAAAGTTGGTGACAATGGAAATTCTACAGCCCTCCAACCTGAGGAGTTGTGGTGCAGAGGATCAGCGTCCTCTGTTGAGAGGGACCAAACTGTTTCAGAGCCCTGGAACCAGGTAGATTAGCACGGAAGGCCAAGAGAACCACAATGGTTTTAACAAAGAGGCAGGACAGACAGAGGACAAAGCTGATGCCAAATGCTGCCTGGCGTAGCCTACATGTCCATACAGATGGCTGGCCAATGAACACCAGAGAACACAAGAAGCAGAGCTTGAGTGACACGAGAAGCAAGAAACTTATCTCCGAGTTGTTGGCCTTGACGATTGGTGTGAAACGAAATTGGTGAAAGACAGTGGTGATGATGGTGGTTGAGACAACACCCAGAAGTGTGAGTGCGACCAGGATGATGCCCATGGTGTCATTAAAAGACAGGAAATCTTCCACCCCAGCCACACATTTGACCTTGTCTTTGTCAGACCAGTAGTACTCTGGACATTTAGTACACTCAGTGGAACCTTTAGAGACAGAATGTGGACACACCCAATGTTTGCCTTCACACAAAATCCTTTGATGACTTCTCACTGTACAACATTTATGTGGTATTAATAGCATTTTGCTTCTAAAAGCAGTAGGGGATATGAAGAAAACATTTATTCGTTACCAGTTTGGTTGCTGAACTCTCCTTCTGCACACGGCAAACAATCAAAGCAGCAGTGGGGCTCCCCTGCCCGTCTGGCCTGCCTGCTGCCCGGTCTACATGGAGCACTACACTGAGATATAGGCACCTGAACAGAAAAGAAAATTGCTTTAAAGAAGGAAAAATAACAGGGATTTTGATTATTTATCACAGGTTACATTTGGTGAGATTCTTTAGAATATGAAGAGATAGTCAATAATTTATTCGTCCCACCTGTGATTGTCCTTTTGTCCATACAATCATGAACTGCTCAAGCTGCAACTGTTGTCTCAAAGGAGCTGAACCATCATAGCTCCCCACCTTGACAAATCTAACCACAACATAACATTTAAACCACTGGGCCATGATACAGTTTGTGTCACAGTTAGCCCTATGCCCAGACTGCTTAAAATGTCAAAAATCATGCATAATGTTTAAATTGGACATTTTACTGTTGTGTCTGGAAACATTATTCTACCTGATTTCACCTGTGCTGTCTTTCTGCCAGTTTATGATGTCGTAGAGAGGGACCGGCTCTCCATTGGAGTCAAAATAAACTTTTTCCTCAAACTGGTTGGTGAAATTCACTGTCTGCAGATGATGAAGCAACTGCATTGAAGGATGAAGAAAAAAACATCAGGTAAAAATAATGCACAACATGAGAAACAAGGGAAATCAAATATTAAGTTGTATATAGTTGTAAATCGTACCTGCTTTGAAGTAAAGAATATATGTTTCTCACACATTCCCTGTTTCTTTCCTTCAGAATCGCAGTTCAATAATGTGTGCAGAGCATGGGCAATGGCATATACAGCTTTATACACATTATAAGATATTCTGACCTGAGAAACATCAGTGTAACTACTTTCAGTGTACCTCAGATCCTCTGACCCACTACATATAGGCTTTTCATTTGCATCTTCATAGTTTTTATCAGCCAATTCTTTGAATGAACTTGTGTTCTCAACAATCTGACCTACCAGAGGCAAAGAGATGTTTTGAAAGTCAGATTTGTTATCAAGAGCATGCAATTCCACAAACATATCCATTGTGTCTGCGACATTGTCTTTAGATCTGCCATCTCTAAACTCTAGCCTGCAGCCAAACAACTCTTCCCAGAACATGTTGACCAATTCCATCCCGGGCTTGGGAGAGGGGTGGACATTTAACAGGAATTCCTCCAAGTCAGGGATCCTGACTCCAGGAAAGGAGAACCCGAGTGTGCCCTCTAGGAGAGGGTGGAAGTGTGGAGAGGTCAGTAGGGTAGCAGTCACCCAGGCCTCACTCGCTACCCACTGGATCCCTGTCACATTTCTATCAGCCAACTGGAAAAATAAGTAAGATTTAAATAAAGTAAGGTTGAGAAATCCAACAGATATCTACTCTTTATATAATGATCTTCAATAAATACATAGTCATAAACATTTACTGAGTTGCAGAGCGCTTACTTCTAAGAACAAATCCACCAACTGTCCCTCAGTTGCAAAGACCACCACTACCTGTGTGGTTGAGCTCTGCAGCGTGTCTGCAAATTCTTGAATCTCAGCAGCTGTGGGTGATTTGGGGATGGTCAAATGAAATGCCAAACACCCACCTTGTTGTTTAAACTGAGTAGAAAAAGCCTGGATACCATATTGACTGTAGTCATCCTGGAATATATAGAGAAAAGACTTGTAAATGATGCTTATGTGTTTAACCAACTTTGAATGATCATTCAAAGCTCTTTATCTCACCGGGGTCCCTACTGTGCCCACCCAGAGCCAACTGAGGAAGGTGACGAGCTGAACAAGACCTCTAACTTGAAAGAGATCATTTGGGACAGTGCGCAAGAATGACGGGTACATGTGTTTGTCAGTGAGACAGGTACAAGTGGCAAAATAACTCACCTATAGGGAAACAAATTTACTTCATCAGAGATGAGACATAACTCAAAAACATTTAAAAAACATTTCCAACATTGTTGTGTGGCTTATCACACACATTTTGAAGGAAAGGCAGCCTGTGAAAACTATAATACTGTGCATCATTACTGTATTTGTTTCAATTCCCGTCTTACCAGTGGTATATTGAAAGGGCCAAGAGTTTGAGCCACAGCTCTTGTAGGAGAAGAGGACGCCAGGCCTATCACAACCGGCACAGGAGAATCAGCCATACACGAGGATGTTTCAGATTTTGCATCATACATTTTCTCTGCAGTCACATTTTCCCATCTGTCATTTCTGTTGTTTTCAAGCATGTCTGTCTTTGTTGTACTTATTTCAGTGTCTCTATTCTTCATTGTGGTGACAATTATTTTCTGCCTCTTTTGTTCTGTAGTCTTTACCCCCTCTTTTCTAGCACCAATGTCACTGAGCATATCTTTGGAGTGCCCAACTAAAGAGAAAAGAGCTTGCAGACTGGTGTGAACATTGTCGCAACTGTCCAAGATCCTGTAGCCTAGTTTAACACCCGGCAACAAGCTTGAATTATTGTTAATTTCCTCCACGGCAAACACCATAGTCATCATCCAGCGGAATGCTCTGAAGTCAAAGCTGCAGAAAATCCAATAAAGTTCGATGTAGTCATTATAATTCATCACAAGATGGAAAGAATCAAATCAGAATAATCCAAATCTGACCATGTCAACAGATTATGAACAACATTTTGATCAAATCAAAGTAAGGGGGTAATAGTCACTCATTTTTTTTATATTTTTAATGTATGACTAAACAAGATATCAAGAATACCCTCACCCGCTGCAAGGTGTGAGCTGAGGTTTTCTTTGGTAGCTGTGTTGTGGCTGCGGGGCCAGAAAATGTAGAGGAAAAAACGCTCCAATCACAACATCCCCTTCAGACTGCAGGGCGGGAGGCTCACTGTAGCTAAGTTTGATACACTGAGATGAGATAGAATCAACATCACTCAAACCTCCCAGTCTTGCTGATACAGACTCCTCTTCCCTCACCACACTTCTCTTCAAATATAGTTCTTTCCTTTCGCTCACACTCTGAGTACTATCACAGAAAACAAGAAAAATTAAAATAAATAATGTCAAAATTAACAGTAAGGGAGAAGGCAGTGTCCTCCATACTGACCCCATAAAGGCTATCTGTGCTGCTGGAGAAGAATGTTCTCCAACATAGTCTTTGAAAGGCCAATGAAATACATTATTTAAAAACTCAGATGCTTGCCTCATTTCAAAATTCATATGAGTCATCAGCAGTTGAACCAATCACAATGAAAAGCAAAAGCAAGCAGGAGAGGACACACATGAAAAGACACATGAACAGTCTCGCCAGAGATGACTAGGAGAAAAAAACGATTTTAACCTCCTCCATGGTTAATTCTGACATTACTATAATTTCCTACTAAATTATAATAGACAGGGTAACTACTAAGAAGGGTTTGGGTTGTCATGTTTAGACATATTATCTACAGGGAAATTAAATAATAAGATCTCCCTGAAAAATGACAACATGTTCAACAAAATATTAAGGTCTGAAATGTATGCATCGATTAATTGAATCAAATTAATCGCGTGCCAGTTTGTCCCTTTCAGCGCACCTTAGTTGATCCACCATGTGTAGTGAGTGATGGAAATAGACAACACATCTGTGCCTTTTAATGGCTCATTTTACTTCAAAAAAGTTCCAGACAGCTCAGTTGAGGGTGAAAAGTACTCCTCCTGCACCTCGTGAACATCAAATGTTTTACCCTTTACCAATTCACTTTAGCTGTTTTCATTTACTTTTCAATCTGTAGACAGTTTCTATTTCCAGTTTCTATTTCCATGGTTACAGGTCACATATTATGCAAAGTACACTTTGCCATGTTTTTCAAACAGTGTCCTTTGTAAATGTGTCCTTTGTCCATGTTCAAACCTCCCAATTACAAGAAAAGTACAGTACATGCCTGCTCCACTTTTCAGAAAATGATTTTCCACTTTGTGACATCACAAAGGGCAGTAACCCCTCTCCCAGGTGGGTGACACTCCCACAGCTTGGTGTTTGTTTTGCCCTCTGAGTCTGCCTTCTCGCTGTAAACAATAGGGCATGATGCAAGAGAGCCCAAGCCCCCCCAACTCTTCCAGAGAGGGGCGTGGTCACACACAGCTCACTTGCATTTACAGTTATAGACACAGAAACAGCCTGTTCTTAGCAGGACTGAAATAAAGGGTTTATAGGCATGATAAAATACAGATTCAGAGCACTGAGACTTATTTAAACTTGCTGAAAAGGAGTACAATATGTGACCTTAAAGTTAATGTCATTGCTTTTGGTCTACAGAAGTTCCTCATTTCTTTCAAAATTAAAGTTTTCTCCAAACACAAAGTAAACCAAATTTAAGACGGTATAAAGTACAACATAAGAGCATATAAAAACTGTTTGAAATGCAAAATAATGGATAATAACATAAATGTGATGACAATTAATTGCAATAAAAAATAAAACTGTTTAACAGCCCTAATTGTATCGTTTCATATTGTACCGTTTTGTAACGGTAATGTAATGTCATATACCGTAGTATCTTATGATATGGTATCATATCCTAACATATCATTTGGTAACCTATAGTTAAATATTTGGCCAATTGGGGGCCAATAACGATGGTTGTTACAATGATAATTGTAATAATAAATTAAAGTGATATAAGTTGCGGTAATATGACCACCACTCATTAGAATTATACAAAAAACAAATGTTGTATGAAAGTGCCCTGGGTTGTGCAAAAGAAAAAAACATTACAAATAATTTTAAAAAGACATAATAATGTTGGGCCCTTGCTCATTTGAAGCTGGTCTGACAGTTGACCAATCAAGTATGGTATCCTGTATCGTTCCTTTAATCACACTGGTTGGATGAGTCGGTTGCTAAACAAAACTCTTAAACCCAATGCTTAATCTAAATCTACAACCAGGTGCCTGGGACTATAAACCGGATAACCAAAGAGACAATTCAAAGATTTTGTGAGAGTCACAGGCATTTTATAATTTTAGGAGTTTAAATGAAACACCAAACATCCCTCACACCACCAGCTCACGAGCGCCCGCTGTGGGCAGCTCCATCACTCTGACGTGTATATTTCAGTGTATATTTGTGTGTGTTGCATGACTTACAGAGTATAAAAACATGAAAGTAAATCTTAATCTTAACCTCAACAGTAAATCTTGGTATTTTGCTAGTATTTAATAATATATCATACCAATGTAAGTATTTACTTGCAAGTCATTCTGAAATTAGAGTCAGTACAGAATGCCTTGGTATACTGCTACCACCTACTGGACGTCAAGGTTAGTTTGTGCTACGTATGCTTATTGATTGGTCTTGCAGAGCATGGCTGATGTTTGGTCTCACTTATTTAAGATGACTGTCATCACTTAAAATACATGAGATTATCCCATCACAAAACTTTGTACTTTTTCCCAATGACACTAATGAAAACATCATGTGCTCGACCACTTGATACCATGAAAGCAGATAAGAAGGGGATATTAATATCTTAAGCTATAACAATCAAATCCATTTAGAATGTACAGATACAATCTTGATATATTATAATATTATGAAATGAAATAAAATTTGACATTGGTCCTCCCTCTACAAAATCCTGCAAAACTGGTTGGTTTGACAAATTAAACAAATGGTGACGTTAAATGAAAGGGGATGACACAGTTCCATGTATAAAATAAAGTGATGTGCCAACAGATAGTAAACTGGACGAAGGAGGAGACAAGCTATGGGTGCATTTGCTATCATACTCTCATGTGTTTTGATGTTGTTCTCTATTTCCATCTTTCTGCCTTTGGTGCACTCTTTTTCCCCACTTTGTAAATTACGGAAAAAATTTAATCTCAATGGTATGCACATGGAGGGCGATGTTGTTCTTGGTGGACTGTTTGAGGTCCACTACTCATCCATCTTTCCTGAGCTTTCCTTCACCTCTGAGCCTAATCAGCCGAGGTGCCAAGGGTGAGTTGTACAAATTCACATCATATAATTGTTTCATTTATTCTTCTATAACCTATGTATTTAGGTGAGATGTGATGTTAAAGGAACTGCTCAATAAATGACATGTATAAAGTATGAATATAAAGTGTGTTAAAATGCGTTCATTATTTTTTTTACCAAGGTTTACAGATGGTTCAAAGTAACAAATGCCTACCTGTTTGGTGTATGTTTTACCAGGTTCTCATGCACGGATGATGATGATGAGGGATATGTATAATTTGCTTTTTGTTAATGGTGCCATTCTGTGTGTTAGCTTTGATATTCTAGGATTCAGGCATGCTCACACCATGGCATTTGCTATAAATGAGATCAACAAAAACCCCAACCTGCTACCTAATGTTACTCTGGGATACAGTCTTTATGACAACTGTGCCACACTTGGAATAGCATTTCGTGCTTCTCTGTCACTGGCCAGTGGTCAAGAGGAGCAGATTCTTTTGGATGAGACCTGTGTGGGGTCCAATCCAGTCTTGGGGATTGTTGGTGATTCATATTCAACTTTTACTATTGCCACGTCTGATGTGATAGGTTTATTCCAATTGCCCATTGTAAGTTTGATATATTCTCTCTTTTTCAACATGCCAACTGAGGATATTTTCATGTGCTCTATTTTAAAAAAAAATCAGATTTAGTGTCTTTAATTATTGACTAGTCTACATGAAAGTGAAAATCCCTTGTGCATTCACTTTTCATTCACAGGTGAGTTACTTTGCCACATGTCCCTGCCTGAGTGATCGAAAACGCTTTCCATCCTTCTTTAGAACAATTCCAAGTGATACTTTCCAGGTACATTGAATCAGCAAAGCACAGACTTTGGTACATATTTACTTGCATTGCATAAGGGCTTTTTTGTGTATTTAGTAAATTTATGTGGATTTTATGAAGCATCTATCTTTTTGTTTTTATGCCAAGAACTGAACTATATACTGTATATAAATTCCATTATTCTATCAATATACTTAGGTGCGTGCTATGATCCAGATTCTAAACCACTTCAGCTGGAATTGGGTAGGCCTTCTGGTCAGTGATGATGACTATGGACTTAATGCTGCCCGCTCCTTCCAGTCAGACTTGGCACAGTCTGGTCAAGGTTGTCTGGCCTACACAGAGATTCTGCCCTGGGGCAATGACCCAACAGAACTTAGAAGGATTGTGAATTTGATTAAAACATCTACAGCCCGTGTGGTCATTGTTTTTGCACATGAGATTCACATGATTCATCTTATGGAAGAGGTAAGAAGTATTACATATTTGCTTGATGATATGATTAAACTAAAATCTAAATGCTCATTTACTTGCATAATACTCAGTTGCTTGTCAATGTGAATTATCATTTTCACTATGGTGAAATTTTAAGGTTGTGAGGCAAAATGTGACCGGCCGGCAGTGGATGGCAAGTGAAGCCTGGACAGCATCCACTGTGCTCCAGACCCCGCATCTCATGCCTTACTTGGGTGGCACACTGGGAATCGCCATCCGTCGAGGAGAAATACCAGGGCTCAGGGAATTC